GAGGGGAGATTTTGAAGCTTGTGAAATCCACATTGATACCATTGGGCTGCAGGGTTCCCAAGCGGATTACGAGTTGCTGTTCCTGCAACCTTCAGGTGGCATCGTTGTGGCACTGCAGGAGGCCCAGGATGGACATGTCGTCTGAGGAATGGGAGGGGGAGTTGAAATGGTTCGCGACTGGGAGGTGCAGTTGATAAATGGTTCTGTCATTGCAAAATAGCCGTGGGGTATATTTCAGAATGTACAAGAAGATAACCAAAATTAGCTTTTGCAATTGTGAGCAAGTTTTAAAACTATGACTGGTAATTTTCATCTTGTGCCTGTTGTCCTTACCCTGCGATCACTCTTTGCTCCCTGCAGGATGATCAGAAAGCAGAAGATGAGTTGGCAAAGAAGCGGGCTGCGTTCCTTCTAAAACAGCAGCGCAAAGCAGAAGAAGCTCGCTTACGAAGACAGCAATTGGATGCTGAAATAGAGCAGAAGCGTGACGAAGCAAGGTAAGGCATTGTTGAATTTTAAATAGAACGAGAGATAATGTTTGTAGTGTCAGATGTGACCTAGCGATTTTGTGCTATAACCTGAAAGTAAAATCCGTTAAAACCTGTCGATTTGTGTACTGTACTGATCTGAAACTTATTTTTGCCTATAATTAAGCTGCAAGGTAAGACAATTATGGAAGAACATGTGACACAAGTTAAACCAAAGTATTTGAAATAATTTTTGATAAAAGGATCAAATTAGGTTAAACCCATGGATGAAATTACTAGAATGCAATGCCTTCTGTTCTAATAAATGTACTGCTTGCTTACAGTAAACATCCAATTACTGGTTTGACTCTTAGTTCCAAAGTTTTCTTCACCTTTAGTAACTCTAGTCAGCATCAGTTTAATAGTACCGTTCCAAAGTAATTGGTTGTTCTGCTCCCAATTTACCTTGTTAATTTCTTTTAAGCTGTCCTGATTTTTGATCTAATGTTCTGTGTACTCATTGCTATTTAACTTCCTTTTAAACTATGCAATATACTTTTGCCAAGCCTGATCAGAGCCTGCCTACATCATTACTATCCTGAGCAGCCTTTGAGAAAAGGATGTCTCAATGATAGACTTAATTTTCCATCTACACTCCACTTCATTTTTCCCAGAAGCTTCCAGTTCACCAAAGGGAGGCATGAATTTGAGATGTTGTGAAGGGATAAAATTACATTTGGGTGTATAAAGGAATTACCTTCTTAGAAGCATCTTGATGATAATATATTTCATCGATACTTTGAAAAAGAAACATCATGTATTGTTTCTTGTAATTTACTGCAAAATTTATATGTAGTTGTCGGGGTCTGTTGGTTCCTTCTTTGCTTTGAGAGTATGCTAGGAAGAGGCTCAGAGCCAACATACATATAACTGAATATAGTGGCATGAATTGAATATTGCCAACAACCTGTATCTGTTATTGAGTAGAAATTTATGTTCCCATATCCTGGAGTTCTTATTAAAGGTTTTATTAAAGTGGTCACTGATGGTGATGGATAATGCGGCTTTGTAAGACGGAAGTTGCATGTCAAATTGTTTGCATGTACATCCCCTTTTCCACTGTGCATTGTATCTTAATCCTCTTCATTACCTGTTGTTCTGCCTGATTTTACTGGTATTTATTTTTAATTAAAGTGCTGACGTATGTGTAGTACAACTAATTCAAAGTTCCCTTGCACTTCAGCCTTGCAAAATATTGTTTTGATAGCATAACACATAGCTGACTTTAGCTGATTAACAATCTAGTAATGGTATTACACTTTTAACATGGCCTGAGAGTTGATAATTACTGGAATCACTTGGAAATGTTTGTGTATTGAAAAGGTTTTATATTGAGCCACATCTATATATTATTCTTTATTAGTGTTAGCCTGTTCACCACTTATTTATGTATATGATCACATAAGTAAGATAATATTGCTTATTCTGTGATATAATGTGGAGTGATCAGTTAAACTGGCAAGTTCTGTGTCGGATCTTTTTAGTTCTGCCATTCTGACATGTTAAGTTTAACCTATGAATCTGCGTAATTCAGGTTCATCATGTCCTATGTTCATCTTTGTTTTATTATTCAGTCGTGAGATGTGGGTGTCACTTCTGGCCAGTATCCATTGTCAGTCCCTAGGTGCCCTTGAGAAGGTGGTGGTGAGCTGCCTTCTTGAACCACTGTAGGTGGGCCCACAATTCCGTTACGGAGGGGATTGCAGGATTTTGATCAGTGGCAGTGAAGAAATGGTGGTGTATTTCCAAGTTCAAGATGGTGAGTGGCTTGGAGGGGAACTTGCAAGTGGTAGTGTTCCCATGTTTCTGCTGGTAAGGTCTTTCTAGATGGAAGTGGTTGTGGTTTTGAAAGGTGCTATGTAAGGAGTTTTGGCAAATTTGTGCAATGCATCTTGTAGATAGTACAGACTGCTGCTCCTGAGCGTTAGTGATTGAGGGAGTGGATGCTTGTTGGTGTGGTGGCAATCAGTGGGCTGCTTTGAACTGTATGGCGTCAAGCTTCTTCAGGTTGTTGAAGCTGCGTTCATCCAGGAAAGTGGGGAGTATTCCATCGCACTCCTGACTTGTGCCTTGTAGAGTCAGGAGTTGAGTAACTCGCTGCAGTATTCCTAGCCTCTGACCTGCTCTTGTAGCCACTACGTTTACGTAGGGAGTCCAGTTGAGTTTCTGGTCAATGGTAACCCCCAGGATGTTGATAGTGGGGGATTCAGTGATAGTAACACCATTGAATGTCAAGAGGTGGTGGTTGTCTATTGTTGGAGATGATCATTGCCTGGCATTTGTGTGGTATAAATGTTACTTGCCAGCCCATGTCTGGATGTTGTTCTGGATATCCAAATCTTGTTTCATTTGAATATCGACAGCTTCAGTATCTGAGGAGTTGTGAATGGTGCTGAACATTGTGCAATCATCAACAAGCATCCTCACTTCCTACTTTATAATGAAAGAGAGGTCATTGATGAAGTATTTGAAGATGGTTGAGCTTAGGACTTTACCCTGAGGAGCTCTTGGAGAGATGCTGTGGGACTGAGATAACTGACCTCCAACAACCACAAACACCTTCCTATGTGTCAGGTATGACTCAAAACAGTAGAGGATTTGCCCCCGATCCCCAACGATTTCAATTTTGCTTAGGCTCCTTGATGCCAAACTTGGTTGAATGTGGCCTTGATGTCAAGGTCTGTCACTGTCAACTTGCCCCTGGATTTCAGCTGTTTTGTTCATGTTTGAACTAAGGCTGTAAGAGGCCAGGAACTGAGTTGCCTTGGCAGAGCCCAAATTGGGTGTCAGTGAGCAGATTTATTGCTGAGCAGGTGCTGCTTGATAGCATTGTTGATGACACTTTCCATCCTTTACTGATCAGGTGTAGACTGGGGCGGTAATTGGGCGGATTGAATTTATCTGACATACCTGGGCAATCTCCCACATTATAGGGTAGATGCCAGTGTTGTATTTGTACTGAAAGAGCTTGACTAGGGGAACAGCAAGTTCTGGAGCACAAATCTTCAGTACTAATCCTGGTATGTTCTCAGGGCCCAAAGCCTTTGCAGTATTCAGTGCCTCCAACTGTTTCTTGATATCTCATGGAGTGAATTGAATTAGCTGAAGACTGTGATGCTGGGGACCACTGGCAGAAGCCCAGATGGAAACCCCCTCAGCCCTTCTGGCTAAAGGTTGCTGCGAATGCTTCCGCCTTATCCTTTGCACTGACGTATTGGGCTTTTCCAACGTTGAGGATGGAGATATTTGTGGAGCCTCTTCTCCCAGTGAGTTGTTTGATTGTCTACCACCATTCACACCTGGATGTGGCAGTACTATAGAGCTTAGGTCTGATCAGTTGGTTGTGGGATCGCTTAGCTTATCACTTGCTTCTTATGTTGTTTGGCATACAAGTAGTTAGCTTCACCAGGTTGAAACCTCATTTTTAGGTATGTCCGGTGCTGCACCTGCCATGCCCTCCTGCAGTCATCCATTGAACCGGCGCTGATGCGCTGGCTTTATGGTAATGCTAGAGTGAGGCATATGCCAGGCCCATGAGGTTGCAGATTGTACTGGAGTGCAAATCTGCTGCTCTTGGTCCACTGTGCCTCATGGACGCCCAGTTTTAATTTGCTAGATCTGTTTGAAGTCTGTCTCATTTAGCACGGTAGTAGTACCACACAACATGATGGAGGATATTCTCAGTATGAACGTGGGACTTCGTCTGTGGACTGTGCAGTGCTCACTCTTTACCAATCTGCCAGATGCACACGCATCTGTCCATGGCAGCGTCGTTAAGATGAGGTCAAGTATGTTTATCCCTCTGAGCTGATCAGGTCTTAAAGCCATAATCAGTAGTGCTGCTGCTGAGCTGCTCTTAGTGGTGGATATTGAAATTCCCTACCCAGAATACATTTTGTGTGCTTGCTACCCTCAGTACTTCCTCTAAGTGTTGTTCAACATGGAGGAGTACAGATTCATCAGCTGAGGGAGGGAGATATGTGATAGTGAGCAGGAGGTTTCCTGCCCATATCTAACCAGAAGCCATTAGACTACATGGAGCCTGGAGTCAATATTGAGGACTTCCAGGGCAACTCCCTCCTGACTCTATACTACTGCGCTGCCTTGTCTGCTGGGTCTGTCCTGCTGGAGGTACAGGACATATCCCAGAGGCCACCATCCCTGGATGCTGTCTGTAAGGTATGATTCTGTGAGTATGACTATGTCAGGCTGTTGCTTAACTAGTCTGTGAGACAGCTCTCCCAATTTTGGCACTAGCCCCCAGATGTTAGCAAGAAGGACTTTACAGGGCTGTCTCTGTTATTGTCTTTTCCAGTGCCTACTTCCATACAAGTTGATCTGTCCGGTTTCGTTTCTTTATTGAGACTTTGTTGCAGTTAATGCAGTGTCTTGCAAGGCTATTTCAGAGGGCAGTTGAGAGTCAACCACATTGATGTGAGCCTGGAGTCGCATGTAGGCTAGGTGAGGATGGCAGATTTCCTTCCCTGAAGGACATTAGTGAGCCAGATAGGTTTTTCCAGCAATCAGCAATAGTTTTATGGACATCAGTAGATTCTTAATTCCAGGTATATTTTATTGAAATCAAAGTCCACCATCTGCCGTGGCTGGATTCGAACTCATTTCCCTAGAACATTAGCCGAGTTTCTGGATTAATAGTCTAGCAATAATATCCCCAAGCCAGTGCTTCCCCTGAATCTCTTAAAAATCTGGGTATTTTCAGTACAAAAGCCAAAAATATTGGTTTTTCAAAATGTATTATCAAGTGATTTCCATTCAGGGTCTTTACAAATGTATATTTGACATGTGATCTCCACAATATGCTCCTGTTAAGAACATTTAAGTCATTTTTGTTTTAAAAGGCGCAAAGCTGAAGAGGACCGGATTCGTAAAGAAGAGGAGAAAGCACGGAGAGAACTGATCAAACAGGAATATCTGAGGCGTAAACAACAGCAAATCCTTGAGGAACAAGGACTTGTTAAACCCAAACCTAAAGTTAAGAAGCAACGCCCAAAATCGGTGCATCGGGAGGAATCTTCTAGCGATACCCCATCTCAATATTCTTCTACCCGTAAGTCACAATGAAGCAGGAAATAATATCATAGAATCTGTACAGAGTGGAAGCAGACCATTCAGCCCATCGAGAGCACACCAACCCTCTGAGTAGCATCCTACCCAGACCCACACCCTTTCCTGTAACCCTGCATTTCCGATGGCTAACTCACCTAACCTGCACATCCCTGGACACTCTGGCCAATTTAGCTTGGCTAGTCCACCTAAACTGCACATCTTTGGACTGTGGGAGGAAACCGGGACACCTGGAAGAAACCCATGCAGACATGGGGAGAACATGCAAATTCCAACAGACAGTCACCTGAGGCCAGAATCAAACCGGGGCCCCTGGCTCTGAGAGGCAGCAGTGCTAACCACTGAGTCACCATGTCGCCATAGTGTTATGAGTATCAGAATTTCAGAGGGTGCAAATGCCTATTATTATTGTATCACTGTGAAGTTGATTTAGTTGAACAGTGAAACAAAAATGAAAAGTAGTGTAACTCTGCAATGTGGTTTTTGCTGTGACTTGCGATTGCACTACAACTTAATATTGTAAGGCTCCCCTGTTGTGCAATGTTCTCATTGCATTTTGAGTTAGCACAAGGCCAGTATAATCATATATTGCAAAATTCAGTTTTAAACTATCATTACAACTGTTTAGCCTAATCTTAAAACTAAAGTTCAGCGCATTCGTTATTCGGTTCATGCGTGTGCATCTTCCTCCTAACATTTAAATTTTAAAATGATTGCTGAAAACCATTTTCCAGAACCCCCCCCACCAACCTTTTTCTTTTAACATGTCTGTTTTATAGAAATTGAAATGGTACTGCACATTTAAGTTTCCTATTTTGCTATTAGAGGATATCTTCTAACTCAGGCAGCGGTCATCTGTCAATCCATTCAGAGTGAATTTTTAATCAGGTCTAAAATCTGCTGTCAGACTGCCACGATTGCTGATCCAAATCAACTGATCATTAATTACCTTGATAATCTGTGACCACAAATTATAGATACAAGCTGTACGCAAATGACTCGGAATGAAAATTCTACAGATCCTGGGAAGGTTCCTGCAGGATGGAAAGTAGCAAATGTAACCCCGCTATTTAAGGGAGGGAGAGACAAAATGGAGGACTTACAGACTTGTTAATTTAACATCAGTGGTTGGGAAAATATTAGAACCTATGCTAAAGAATGTGGTAACTAGACACTTAAAAACTGCATTAGTTAGCATGGATATCTGAAAGGGCAGTTGTGTTTGAAAAATCTGTTTGGAGTTTTTTGAAGATGTTTCTTGTACCGTAGATAAAGGAAAACAAGTGAATGTGGTATAGTTGGATTTTCAGAAGACTTTTGACAGGACGTTAGTAAACAAAATTGAGCACATGAGATTGGGTATAATATGATATGAATGTTATGAATTGAGAATGGGTTAACAAATAGAAAACCGAGTAGGAATAAACAGGCCGTTTTCAGGATGGTGGTCTGTCACTAGTGGGGTAATGAAAGGATCAGTGCTGGGGCTAATTGCTGGAAAATTATTTAATGTAGAGGCCAAATATATTTACACATTTGCTAAAGACACAGTTCCACTCAGTCTTGGAAGTTCTGAGGAGGATGCAAGGAAGCTTAAAAAGGATTTGCAAATGCTGAGTGAATAGACAAGGTCGTGGCAGATAGAATATAATGTGAACAAATATGAAGTTATTTTAGTAGAAAAAACACAAAGGCATAATACTTTTTGAAAGGTGACAGGCTGGGGAGTGCTGATGCCCAAAAGGACAGGGTGCACTTACTGATGAGTCACTGAAAGCTGAACTACAGTTGCAACAAGCAATTTGAAAGGCAGACATATGTTGGCCTTCATCACAAGGGGATATAAATACAGGAGTAAAGGTGTCTTGGTACAAATGTCTGAAGCCTTGGTGAAACTGTACTTGGAGCATTATGTACAGTTTTGGTCTGCTGGATCAATTGTTTTTCTTCATTTTGTATATTACTTGTCTTTTCCTGTGAATAGTTTATTCAGGTGGAGAACAATGTTAATTTATTAGCAAGAGTTCATTTTTAAAATTTTATGAAAATACAAATCGTAAGCAAGAGTCGGCTGTTTGGCCCTACAAGCCTGCTCTGCCAATTAGTAAAGCCGTGGATGATCTTTTTGTGTTCTGAATTCCACATTCCTATCTATCCCTGTTAACCTTTTGATTTCCTTGTCTAACAAAAATCTAGCTACCTCTGCTTACCTCTGCCTCCACACAAAGGGAATAAACCTACCCTCATCACTCAAAAGGGCAAAACATAATTTTAAACTAATATACTCCATCTACCAGATTTTTGCCCATTGGCAACCTACACATCCTTGCTATGAGATCTTCATAGCATACTTCCTCTTTCTTTGTGCGATCTGCAAATTTAGCCATCATCAGTCATTAATACAAATTGTTAAATTTTGAAAGCCCAGTACAAGCCCTTGTGAGAGCCCACTCATCACCTGCTGCCAATCAGACATAAACACATTTATGCATACTCTGCTTTCTGCTATCCAGGCAATCTTTTGTCCATCCTACTATGTTGTCCCCTGCACCATGAGCTTCTACATTGCACAGTAACCTTTTTTTGTACAATGTTCTGGAAATGTTTCCGGAAATTCAAGTGCAGCACCGCAAGAGGCTCTCCTGTATTCACATTGAAAGCTACTCCTTCAAAGAATTCCGATAAATTGGTAAACGGGGTTACCATTCTTAAAGCACTGTTGACTCTCACCTATTACCCAAGTTTTTCCAAGTGCCCACTTATAGCCACCTCAATGATTGATTCTAATAACAGACATCCAGCTAACTTGCCTATGGATTCTTGTTTTCTGCCTTCCTCCCTTATTGAATAGAGGGTTGTAGTTGCTATTATTCATCTCCTGGAACCTTCCCAGAGTCTAGTTAGTTCTGGAAAATTAACACAAACTCTCATCTACCTCATCAGCCACCTTTTCTGTTAGATCCTAGAATGAAGTCCATCCGGCCTAGGAGATTTATCAGACCTTGTTGTGTTCAAATTAGATTTTTTGGTACGCACAAAGAAAATGCTATGGCGGATTTGTAGATTAATGTAAAATTATGTGAAGACTCGTAATAGAGTTTTGTCAAAAGCAGTGGAATTTGGATAATGGGCAAAACTGTTGCACCTTAAACAACAGTTTTAAATATTGTAGTCACTGACTTGAAATATGTGTTCATCTATTCTATTAAGGAACAGCCTTTAAAAGGGTAAAGACCCAAATCCGACTAAAACATTAGCTCCCATCTTCTTGTTTTAGGTCGTTTGTTTAAAAGAAAAAAGCTCAGGTTAGGGCAATTTTCCCTTTTAATGCAAATTCAGTTTTACTTTACTGAAAATGAGTATATGGTTTTAAAAAAAACAAAAAAATGTATAATACTGGTCTAAATTTTAAAATATAGCAGGATTTGAATTCTCCTTTTCTGGACAGCATACCCTCAGTTTGATTCCACCTTGGCTTCCAACAGGCTGCCTAAAATCAAAGATGTTTCATCTAATTTATTGAAAATGGAAGAGAAAGTTGTTGTATGATGTTTCTGGTTTTTGTTTTCTTTCATCTAGTTGATAATCTGAGCAGTGCTCAGTTTGGTTCCAGTCTCTCTCTGGCATCAGCTACTACTACCGAGGCAGAAAGTGTGAATTCTGGCGGTGGAAGTGGTAGTGGTGGTTATTCACAAAGGTAAGGGTAACCTGATAGAAATCCACATTAATTTCAGAGGCATTCATTTAGAAAGTCCATGCAATTAGTAATCCAAGGCTAGAATCGAACCCAGGTCCCTGATGCTGTGAGGCAGCAGTGCTAACCATAAACCACACTGCTGCCCTATTTGGATCACAGTTTACATTATTGCCCAGCCACAGAGCATTTGGGCAGCAGGTGTAAATTGGTGTTCTTACTTCAAATGTGCCGACTGACTCTAATTAACTCTTCTTGCCCTATTCCTGTACCCCTCTGTTCCGGGTGTTGAGCTACTCCCCACCTGTGTGCAAATGCCATCTCGTTCACATAGTCCCTGCAGCAGCAACTTCTGCATTCTCACTGTCCTCTTTTCTAAGGAAAACGTTTCTAAATTCCTTAATTAATCTTTTAAGTGGCTATCTTTCATTAAAACCCCCTTGTTCTGAACTCGGTTAGTAGCAAAATTTGCTCCACATTCATCCTATCAAACCTATTCATAGTGTTGAAAACCCCATCAAGTCATTTCTTTCTTTTATTTTCCAGAGGAAAGTGGCTTGGCCTGATCAAACTTTTCATGATAATTTCATCCTTACAATTCTTATAACATATTTCCGTTTCTTTTCTGCAATTTGTTCAGTACGTCCAAATCATTTGTACTGTTCTGCATTTTACAAAATACCCTGAGGTGACAAGTAAAAACATCAAACTATTCACAATTTTATTTGCAAATGATAGCCATTGTTTAATGTGGTTGTCAGCCAAAGGAAATGTGTTTATTAATTGCGTTGAATAGGAAAAGGGAAATATGCGGAAAGCGTAGCAACATTTCTTAGAAATTCAGATCGAATACTGTTGGTTTCAGCGCTCGGATGAAATATTCAGCAATTAAAATAGGCATTTAATCATATCCTCAACTGTAAAGCAACGTTTAAACTTAATTTATGTCTTGTCTTGATAATGAGTTGAGCTGAAACATAAGGTAAAATGATTTGTGGTAGAAATTTTGCTAACTGGATGTCTTGAGTTTTATATTTTTAATACATTAGAACATAATTTTTGAATAATGCATGTTTTTTTTAACTACAGCAGATCAGTTTAGCACCACCTGACTGGGAACATCAAATCCCTAGTCTTCAGTATTAAACTTGTGGCTTTGCTTGATATATAGGACAGATTCTATGGAAACATTTTCGGTGTCGAGCAGAAATCAGAGTAGAAACACAGAACGAGACTGGGAGAATACGTCCACAGCCTCATCAATTACATCAGTAGCTGAGTACACAGGTAGAGTCAAAAATAGCAGAATATTGTGCTTGTGCAAGAAGTGAGGATTGAAGCTTTGAGTTGTTTGTGATCAACATTGTGATTGTGTTGCAGGTCCAAAACTATTTAAGGAACCAAGCTCCAAGTCAAACAAATCAATAATCCATAATGCTATCTCACACTGCTGCCTTGCAGGGAAAGTAAATGAGGCACAGAAAAACTCAATACTTGAGGTTAGTAACACAAAACCAATTTATATGTGAAAAGAAATAATTTCAGTCATTTGTAAGACTTTGTTTCCACCCTGTTATCCAATTTTCGCCTTTAAAAACGGCATATTTTGCGTTTCTAAGATATATCGAGTGCAGTCACGAAATGTAATAAGTGTGTAAAGATTTTGAAAATGCTGAAAACTTTTCCAGTTTATTCCAGAAGCATAAAATGTTCAACAAAAAGTGGTCAATTATTCAATATTCTTGATGACAAAATTGCTTATTTTGTTTAAAATCTGCGTATAATATATTTGGATGTGGCTGAACTAATCTTGAAGAATAAATCTGCACCAGTCATTGAAATCAATTCATTTTTGTCCATAGAAGCTTCAGCAGAGGAGAAGGCCCTTTGAACCTTCATTTCTGTTGGACTTTTGCCAAAACAATTCAAAATTAATTTCATTGCCCTGCTGAACCAAGTCTTTCTGAACGTACCACATCAAAAATCTCACATATATGGTATCTAAACCTTTTCTTCTCCATTGGAAAGAATGTTAGTATCTCCAGTGGCTTCAGAGTTCCGTGGCATCATTTAGATAATGCTGTATACTTTGAACTTAATGTCTTTTCTATATTAAATACCCTAGTGATCTTGCCATTGCTGTGTACAGATTTCTCATTACCTTTCTACTGTTGTGTTGTTTCTAAAACTCCTAAAGCTTTTGATTCTTAATTGATTATGTATTTACATCACTACATATATATTTCTCCAAACCAGTCAGCACCTTTTCAGTGAATGCGTATTTCCATTTATTTTTAACCCAAGATCAAAGCTTTGTCTGTACATGTATTATATTCTTGCTGGACAGCAAGAATAGTGATATTTTATAAATTGATACTTGTGTGTCAGTTGATTTCGGGTAATTGATTGAATCTCCAATGCATTGTGTCAGGGAAAGTGTAAGCCTAACTGTATTGTCCCGGGAAGGCATGGAAATGAAAAGTCTGAGACCACTACATGTAGCTGTACTGAATTGGGTCTTGGATAGAGGCATTTGATCAAGCTGTCACCTTTGCTAGGCAGCAATGCACGTGATTTTCAACTGAAAAGGGCTGACAGTTGAAATTTAGATGGAAGTGGATTACTGCTACAGGCTGCACAAAGGCACTCTGAGATCACCTTACTGTGCCCTCCTCCCCCCCCCCCCCCTCAAAGCCCACG